CTGACCCATTGTGACTGAAGGGGTGCTCAGTCTGAAAATTAGGCTCTTGGTGTTCGAGTAGATCTTTATCCCCATGTTTACCTACGGTTTTGAATCTTGGACCATGACTGAAAGGCTTCGCACCCCGGTATAAGCTGGTGAAATGAGTATTCTGAAACGGGTCGCTGGCCTTATGCGTCTCTACATGGTCCGGTATTGACACGCGGAAGAACCTTTGGATACAGCCTCTGCTTCTCCAGACTGAGAAGTCACAGCTGCGACGGTTTGGGCATGTGTTGCGATTGACTCCAGAAATGAAGGCTCAGCAACTGTTTCTTGTCCTACCGACCGACAGAAGGCCCAGAGGACGGCAGGATTATCCTGGTGTGAATGTAGGGAAGGAGTCCGCTCTGGACTCGGTTTGTTTTCTTTCGAGGCTCAGACTCTGACAGACAGTTGGGAATGTTAGAAACACTGTATGACTGTGCGTGCCTCCTCGACTGAAAACGAGAAACATTATGGAAGATGAAGATAATGATGAAAGTTTGACCTTGGGTTTTACAAGATCAAATTTGCATCCAACACGGCAACGATCTCTCTCGGTGGATCTAACTATTTCATTAAGTAAAACAGCAACGTTTGAGCACACATGTCTCACTGACGCGTTCTAAAGATCAGGCCGTCTGTTTGCAGACAAATGCCTAAAAACGTATGGAGGAAGTACAGGAGGGTGATTCGTTTGTACTTTCCCCTTTATTTTACATCTGACTGCTTGTTAGATGAAAATTTGGTTTCAGGATGATTGTTCCCAGCAGAAATTTATAAGGATAACTGAGAATATTTCGACCAATCAGTCCTCGCTGTAACATGTTGAAAAACAGCACGATAGATTATTAATCATAACAAATAATAATACCTGAATTAAATTGCGGAAATTCACTCTACAAGGAAAGAATGATTATTTTTACATTATACCGACAATGTGGTATTTAAAAATAGCTGAAGGTCTTGCACCGGGTTATCTCGTATTTTTGAACTACCTCCTTGCTGCTAGACACCTGGTGGGACCACTGAAGCAGGTTACGGCGACATGGTGTTTAAGCGCTGTAGTGCATAGGACACATGACCGCGTTTGTCGGTTTGGTCGACAAGGGCATATTCAAGCTGAAACACGTTTGCCATGACGCATAGGCAAGTACATGTGGAATAAAACAGAATATATCCGAAATGCTTTGGAGCAGCCTCCACATGTGTAAGCTTTCAATACCATCGGTCAATAATGTCATTACGAATAATAATAATATCTGATTTAAACTGCGAAGATGTACCGTGTGAAGAAAATTTATTTATAATAATTTTGTTTAAAATATATTGAGTATTTTTGAAACATATTGAGTCCCTAATGATTGGCTAGGATTCTAGCTCGGTTCTTTGATAAATTGTAAGAAAGAATCTCCTTTGTGAGTCTCTGGCAGCCCATAGAAGCAAGGCACCCGTTTCTGACTAAGGGTTTATACAACCATGGTTTGCTTAATTTCTTCCGCAAGGAATGAAGGAGATTGGTCATATTTCTCGTAACCTGCTTTCCCAGTTGTTTGCGGAGCTTTTATACGTTTCTGCACTAAGCATCGTGTTAGCCTTTTGCTTATATTCCGATTATTCATGATTGCTGTCGCATTAATTTTATCTGCTGAAGTTTCAGGATGTAGAGCTACGATGAAAAACATTTCAAGATGAAGCTAAATGACATAACGATTAAACACGACGAAATCATGATTCACTTCCATGTCACTTTTCACCAGCATACTAATTAAAAAAGAAAAACGGTGCGTGGTAACAAAGCTCGAATTACGAATTCGGTCTGGGGTAATCACAGGAAAATGAATCATCAAAGACACTTAGCTGCTCAAAATTTTCTATGGAAAACACCTGATTCACTTTATAATCAGAACCATACATAATGCTAGAATGCACACCTATGGGTTTCCAGTTGTCTCTAATCGTCACTAGTACTATTGTAGAGAAGTTAGGGAGGGAGTCTCTCAACAACTTTCACGTGCCACCAAAAGTATTACGGAAAAACTTTGTCGATACACCTGTGATTATGAAAGACAGCGATACACCGGCTTTATTCCAATATCTAAACAATAATACTGCGAATCCATCGATTCAGTACAAAAGGACATTTCGATGTCGCTTTTTGATTGCAAAGTAAACAGAGAAAACAACGGATCACCAAAAATCTGAGTCTATCTCAGCCCCACACATACGGAAC